CTCCAGGCTTCACGAGGGATTAATCAACACCAAAAAGGCATGAAAACTCGGTCCATGGATTTTTAAGAGGGGGTTGTGTTTGTTTTTTTGTTTTTTTTTATGTGCTCCGCTCTCACGAGTCAAACGACTAAAAATTATGATCATCTTGACGGTACAACAGATCTCGACCAGACTCCATTTATTTTTCTTTTCCCTATTTCAGGTCTCAACAGAGTCAACGAGAGTGACTAAAAGGCGGTCTCTGCTGATTTTGAGCATGCCAGTTTCAACCTCCTGTGTTGTGTTGTTAAAAAAAAAATACTAAGAAAAAGAAAAAATATCTTTGGAATGCGTTTAAACTCTGTTGCAGCGTTGTTACAAATTGTTTGGGCCTGAGCCTGTCGTGCGTTAAAAACTGTTCTCCAATGGTGAAGGTCTAGTGAGTGATTATTTATCTGTGCTTAAGTGAGGCCATGATTTGTATTACCAGCTAGCCTAAGGCTGCCACTGCCCTCTGCATACCTGTATGTGCTTTGAAACGGTGGCTCTCGGTTAAAACTAAAAGTCCTTTTAGCCAGGAGATCTCTCTCTCTGTAAGCCGTCATCCGGGATGACCCTCCCATCACTGCCACCAGCGATTCTCTCGGTCACACAGAGTGCGAGGGTAAAAGCTTAGCTGTACAGATCCATTAGGAGGGGAATTAAGATGAAGTATGCCCTTGAGGGGATTTCGCAATATGCCCTAAAGGTGATATCCATAATGGACCAGCTACTGAGAAAATTCATTACTACACATGTCCTCCTCGGGCGCTCCGGCGATCCGGGGGAGGTGTCAGGGAGATGTAAGGCTTTTCAACAAATGAAAATCGAATCACAAAAGTAAACGATATCTTTATTAATCACCCTCTGCTGGCTGAACAGATCCATAGTTGGCGAAAAAGTCGAAAAGCCCTCGGACGTCCGGAGGGAAACATCGTGGGGTCATCTGTGTCGTGAATTCAATGCTGCTTTTCATGCCACCCTCTGTATTTCTTTCAACACCATTTGTGTTGCAGAATAAAATGTGAGTGCTGCCCAAATTAAATGGCAAGTTAATGTATGTTATTAAATAGATTGATGATGTCTGCTTTATGTCCTGACATATCCTTAAAATTGGGGAAAATGTACAAAAAGATAACAGTGCCTGGCTATCGGATTATGTATTTGTAAAACCTCATGAAATCTAATGAAGTGTGTGAAGCATGTTTAGTTTTTTTTATACAAATTTTTATTTCTATTAAAAATGTTTTAAACCTCAGCAGGGTTTGTTTGATTCAAGAAGATCATCGGCTCTGATCATGAGTTTGTTTTTTTAGTAAAGGGATAGTTCGTCAAAACCACAGGAGATTCAGGAGCTCCACCTGGTTCTGGTTCTGCTCTCTAAAGCAGCCGGAGAACCGGACTGGAGGCTTGGCTGTTAAACACTAGTGTGTAATTTTAGTCGTTTTAACAAACTCCAAACAAAAACACAGAGGGAGCCAAACACCTACTTTGTAAACGCTCTTCGACTCAGCTTTACTGGTTTTCTGATTGCACTCCTGAAGATTGATAAAAGCAGGTTAAAGCAGCAGAGTTCAGTGAGGCGGCTGCAGATACATGTGAGCCGCTGGTATCCTCGGGTTCAGAACAGTCCACTAACCTTAATCATTCTTGTTCTTCCTCTGTGAACTCCAGCTCATTTAAAGGGATATTCCGGCGTAAATTAAGTTAGGGTCAAACACATCGTAACACTAAGTAAAGGTCCTTACACACCGGGAACGACGCAAATATACGACGCAAAATTATGAAATATTCAGAGGCAAAAAAAAGCTCCCAGTGTGTAAGGACCTTGAGACACCCAGCTGAGAGCTGAATGTTGTCGACCGCTTCCTTCTCTAGTTATACCAACTTTAGTAACGACCGCAGGATATTAATACAGAGAGCCACGCCCTCAACCAAAACGCCACTCTATAGCCACAAATAATGCTCAGAACAGCACCTAACTTCATCAACAGGACATATAGGGTCACAGACATAGTACTAGACACCAAACATCTTTTTAACTTTGACTCATTTCTTTAACAAAGAGACTAAACACAACTCACCTACTCTCTTCCAGCAGCCGCTTGTTTGTAGTGAGACCTCAGGCCAGTCCATTAGGGACTACAGCGGGGTGCCGCAGCTCAAGGAAGAACATTTATGATCATTTCTTCATGGAAATACAATCAGACCGAGACGCTAAGGCAGAAGAACGACAGCGTCTGCGGGGAAAAAAGATGAACATGGTGATTATTACTTCAAGGAAATGATAAAGAAATGTTTCAGTGTGTTTGACTCTGATTTTACGCCGGAATATCCCTTTAAGTGTCCAGTTGTTTCCACAGGCGCGTCATCATCACCGTCAGATTTCAAGGCTGCAGACAAAAACAGCTGATCAGTTTGGATCTGCAGCAGGTGGAAAAACACGGATGTCTGAAAACAAAAGAGCAGAGAAACTTCCTGTAAACAGTGACGTTGATGTAGTTTGTTAAAATGAGGTAAATCACGCTGTATTCCTCATCCTCTGTCGAGATTATTCACCAGCTCTTCTTCTTGTTCTTCGGCCACTTTCTCCACAGGTCGGAATCCGCTGTGGTGAAGTACCTCATACAGCCCCTTTAAAAAAACACAGAACTATTCCTTTAATTTCATATTTACACACAAGAGACAGGAAGGAATCCTTTAGTATCTCTGTTAATGTAATAAAAAAAACAGTATAGAAGCCGACGGAGGTTATCTTCAGCTGAATGATTGGCGGCACGTCTCTGTGAGTGTTTTTTTATTCCTGTTGTAAACTAATAAAGCAGATTAAAAACAAGTTTTTCAGCCCTGAAGAAAAGACACAATAGATGCCATCCTCTGAATAACATGTTGCCATAATCGCTCTGATAATAGCCCTGAAAGATCAGAGAACTGGGAGGCAGAAACCTGAAATTATTTTAAATAAATGGTTAGCTGCTACTTGAATCCAAGGCCTCTGCTGCAGATTCTCAGGATCTATTATCTTGTTCTCCACGCCCCCGATGCGCCACAAACCCACATTACAAAAGACTCACACACAAGAGTTGTTGCACTGTGAGTGTGTCAAATACATGCCTGCTTCTGGAGAGCTGAACTATGCAGAGCAAAGTGCATCTCAACCCAGCAGAGGAAGAAAGAGAGAAAGAGGTCTGTGATGCTTTGTCTCCGGAGGTTTCAGGGTGGTGTTTGATTTTGATATTTCTCTCTTTTTGTTCATTGAAATTAAAACACATATATGATGCACGATTTCAGCTCGTTTCCTCAAAAAGCACCCGCAGCATGTTATTAGAACCACACTGTGTGTAAAATAGAGAAGCTCAGTGTCGGGTTTCCATCTCATGCTGCAAACACGATTGAGAATTCAGCTTGAAGTGGAAAAACTCACATGGATGTGAGATTCTGGCAGATTTCTCACTTCCAGCTGCATTACTGCTCCGACTCCTGACATGAATTATTCAAATAATTAACCCAAAAATAGAAATAAGAGAACATTTTTTAACTTACTGCCAAACTGATCTATATGTGGGAGACACTGCAGGATGCAGATGGGGTACACTGACTCAGTAAGTCATACATTATTAATAAACAACCCCTGACCAAGGCCAACACAAGTTTCAGATAACTTCACTGTTGTACAGGCTGGAGGAGGTCCAACAAAGTTCCTGCTGAAGGTTTGACTCAGATCATGAAGAACTAGAGAAGGACTGAATCAGTGAGGAAGTAACGTCGGAGAGATTTCAACATTTACGACTTCTTTATTGACGGTGTGGATTTAAAAAGAACAAAACACTATATAAGTGCCGAAAAAGAACAGGCTCTTATTACATATTACATAATTCGTCACTGTCCGATACAAAACACATATCTCCAATTTTTTTTCTTTTTCAGGAACATTAAAAAACAATTATATTCATAAACTAACATACAGAAGAAACTAGGGCTGGGCGATAAACCGAAAATTTACAGATACCAAAATTTACGACAATAACCAACATCATTTTGCCCATACCGGTTTATTCAGTGTGAAAAAAAATCAGTAAATTAAAGTTGGTTTTGGATGTGTGAAGGTGCCGTATTTTTCACACTATAAGGCGCACCTAAAACCTTTTGGCTTGTCGAACACTGCAGCTACCGTAGCCTCACGGAGTTATTGAATGAGTTAAATAAAGTTTGACTTATCTGACTGTTTTGTTTGGCTTAATGCGCTTTTAAAATTATGAAAATAGGCATGAATAGATACGTTCATCGATGGTGCGCCTTATAGTGCGAAAAATACGGTAGGCTATGGTCTCATGTCCCTTTAAGACGCTGTCCTACGTCAGAGACGTGACTCCACCCCATCCAGTCTGTAACAAAGAGAGAAAGACAGGTGAGGAGATGGAGGACGGAGAGAAAGTTGGAGCGGCTGAAGTAGACAAAGTTAATGTTGGAGGGGGTGAGCAGCTTGTGGAGTAGTTATCGTCCATCCATCCTTATCGAGGTGAACTGATCAATATATTGTGATATTGATTCAAGGCCATATAACCCAGCCCTAAGCCCCAAGCTGAGTGTCACCTCAGTTGATCGATAAAAGTTGATATCAAAAGTCCCACCCCTCCATGTATCTTATTGGTCAGTTAAATAAATGATATCGTTGAGTGTGGTGGTGTTCTGAAAGGTGAATTTTTTCAAGAGTTCTCTGAGCAAAAGTTATCTAAGCACAAAGTATTGTGTTTCAAGTACTGAGCACCAAAACTGCTAAACTGCAAATAGACAAACAGATAATAGACACAGAGTCACATGACCAGGGGGACTGACCAATAGAAGAGGATAAAGCCAGCTGCAGGAGCTGTCAATCAATGTCAATCATAGTGTGATGAAGAGGACGCTGACGATTAATTCAGTTTTAAATTTAAAAAAAAAACTTTATTCAGATTAGTCAAACTGTACTGATGGAAACAGGCCCTTAACTCACATCACTTCAGTGTTTTCTTGTTTTCATTATAATCAATAATCAGTTAATGATTATTGATTATAATGGAAACAATGAAAACACTGAAGTGATGTGAGTTAAGACAGCATCTCCAGACTTTTGGTGTCTTTTGACATTTGGAGATCCTTTACATTCAAACAGTCTTTCAAACTGTAATACCCACAATAAACTGGTGCCAGAAACTAGACTGGTGTAATCTTTATATACATCTGTAAATGTATGAATATATAAGTAGAAGATTGTAATGATGATACTCAAACACCTTATTCCATTTTTTGTCAAACAGAGCTATCATTACGTTGTCAAAATCAGACATGACCATACAGGACTCATGATTCTAACAAAGTCAGATCTGATCCAGAGTAGACTCAGATCCGTCTCTGCCTCATGGTTTTCTCTGTTTTATTTCTGTGGACATATAGACAAACACTCAGCCCACAGTATAGAACTTCCTCCATGGAGGGAAAAACAACTTTTGCTGAGATGTCTTTTCCAAAATAGACACCGGCTAGATTCCCTCAGTACACTTCAGCTTCAGTCAGCAGAGACTCCGTTTTTTTTTATAACGAAGGACTAAGTGTGGAGAGAGGAGGACAGGACAGAGCGTGTTCCTCCTCCAACAGCTGGCCTGTCCTCGCTTCAGTGCGCCGGAGTCTGAAAACCAGCAATTTTCAATAAACTTGACGAATATTAAGGACAACTTCAGAGGTTCTGGGGCGGTGTAATGGCAGAAATCATTCAGAAACAAATTTCTGCGGGCCGTCGTAATGACACGACTATCGAAAGGTTCAATGCAATCTACTGAGCTGTGTAATTGCAGATATAAAGATGCAAATTCAATGAGAGAGGGTGAGAGGTTTATCCACACAAGCTAAGGACCCGTAGACACTGAAGATATGATGATGTTACAGTCTGTTGTTGTCACTCTACTCCTTTACGGTGAACGCAGACAATAAAATCCAGACCCCCCCCCGCCTGACTTTAGACCCCCCTCTGTGCTGCTACATGATCACAGTAACAATGACAGCTCATGCAGATTAGTCGAGCAAATTAATTCTAATACAGCAGAGGGAAATATTAACACGAGCAAAACCCATCACACGAGGACTGGATTACAGCGCAATTATTAATCCTGTCATATGTTCCTGAAACGGTCTTGGCACGATTGACTAACTCAATGGGATCATGTCAAGAGTGTGAAAAGAGCAAACCACCTTCTGAAGCCGGAAAGCTCTCCAAAAGTTTGAAATTGTTTTTTTCCTCATCTGGTAATTTAATTTCATTAAGAGTGGGAACTTTAGTGGGTCGCAGCTGATGAGTCAAAGCCGCCGTGAGCGAAGAAGCACAAACGCTGAGACATCTATGTGGAAGTATGAGAGGCCGAGCTTATAAAACGTGAATCTACCCGCTTTGGTTCTTTTCTGTGAGCGAGTGAAGATAATACAACTGCCCTTAGGTGACAGAATGAGCACAGGAGCGCATTTGTCTCGAATTGAGCACCAATATACGGCCGGATGGAGAGAAGCGATGCGGTGATGTTACTCTCAAGGGTCCTCTGACTGAGCACTCTCAGTTGGGCGGCTTTGCTATTGTACACCGTCATAAACAAACTCGGCACAGCCCACTCTGCTGTAAGAAGTCTGATCTAGAGGAGCCATTTTCCAACAGAAGAAGCAACAGTCACAGTCGCAGAGGCTCTGTCTGCAATTCACTGTGGACCGCGATTGAAGAGCGAGATTAAAGGAGAGAAAAAGAGTTTCTATTGTGTGAATGAAGCGCAGTGAGAAAGCATCGGTGGAAAAATACACAGAAAAAAAAAAAAACACTGCAGGGTCTCATGACGGCAGAATCACAGCCCCACATTTCTTCAATTATTTCACTAACATTTCACTCACCTCTTGGTCTCTGATGGTGATGACTGATCAGAGATGTGGTGCTTATACAAGGTGCATAAACAATGTTGCTAGGCAACAGATCCTTGTGAGTACCCTGCAGTTATTGCACAATCAAAGGAGTACTGTTCTGGTTCTTCAGTGACGGTGTTAAAGTACAAAATCTTAAAAGGACGCCTCCCTGCCGCCAAAAAAGTGACGTCAATAATTAAAGACGAGAGTGTGAATGTTTTTCTAATCAACCTCAAATAAACCTTAAAAAAAAAACTCTTCATATTTTAACACGTTCAATATCCAATCAATCGATCAATCAACATTTATCTTTAAAGCACCTTTCATACACATAACTGTCCATTCAAGCAGGATATTAGAAACAATAAAATAAAGTAAAATTAATAAAAATAAAGCTACAGAAGCCCACCCACCGTTTACATGCAGCACTCACACACTCACACAAACACATGAATACACAAAAGACCAGGTGAGGACTCTTTAACTTCAACACAGATGAACGAAGAAACACTATCCTGAGTTATAAAATGAAGAAAACGGGATCTCAATCCTGTTTTAGTCCATGACAAGTCTTCATTTTTTCGTCATTAATTTCAGTGTTTAATTTTTTTCTTCAGACTAATCCAAGTGAGTCGAACTAGAGTTTGAATCTACAACATTTCACCTTCTTATCACTTTTAATTATGATTCCTATACCTGAATATAAAGTGTAAGAATACAGTTACTATTGAATAAAAGACTACAGAGTTTTAAAAATAGTGTTTATTATGTTCAGAAACTGATGCCTTTTGCTTTATTCGCACCTTTATTTGAGAGGTAAATAGTGATAATTCAGCACTTTTCTCACAGTTTAGGGAATCATTTAATTATAAACTGTTATTACATTATGAGCTGCATCATTAACGCTCATAATAAGTTATTACATTATTACTTAATGCAAAAAGATGTTATTACCTTCTGTGCGAATGATTTTATTACATCATGAACTTGTATAACATTTAAATTATTACATTATGAGTTCCTACAGTGATAACACAGAGGGACGATCTTTCCTAAACGCTCTTTCTGAGACCACACACTGAGTTCATGGTAAAGGTCTGAACCTTCATCTCACTTTTCTGAGCAGCACCTTCATCTTTGAGCTGATCAAAACTAAAAACACTCTTTAACATAACCCTGAGTTAGGATACATTTAGGTTTAACAGGGAGACATTAAAGTTAACAGCGTCGAAAAAATGGTAAAGAATATTATCGTCCTGCCAGCCGGCTCCGACTTTCTCACTGACATGCATTCAGAAAAAGTCATTAACAGTCGTCAGTGTTTTGTGCAAATGTACAGCAGGTACAATTCGTAGCAGAGGACTGTCAAAGTTAAAGCTGCGCCTCTCAACCTGAACACATCAGCGATATTTACATTATATAAAATACGTCTTTTGAATGTTCAAGAGCCCAACAGCAACATTTAGTCCAATCCTGCTGCTGACGAACATTTATCACCATGTTCCTTTAATTACCACCGTCATAAGAAAACAAATCCACATCTTCGTTAATGTGACTGAAATGTTTGAGTCTTCCACATCAGCTGAGCTCAGTAGCTTTTACGTTTGTTCGGATGGTACAGGTTTTATTATAGTCTTCGAACGGCTCATGAAGGATTGAGTCAGAACAGACCACAGAATCCATTTTCCAATAGAAGAAGAAGAAGAAGAAGAAATATATCATCCAGTGTGACTCATCGGTGTATTTTCAATAGTCTGCTTATGGAGGGGACTGACACACACACAGAGGATTATGCTATTAGCCTTTGAAAGCACAAAAATACTCCCAAGGACATCCTGCACATTCATTCAAGAAACTTATTTTACCAGATGCACCGAACTTTAGGCACATTTTTTTAAATATATTTTAGATGATTTAAGTTCTTTTTTATCCACTTTTTTTACATTAGACCTGCACCAGCCTTGATATGCACTCATTTTAACACTTTTCCTGTACGTCAAAGAGGTCTGATAGTTCGCTTCTCCTGTCCGTTTACTAGGGGTGTCACGTTTTTGATTTTTTTATTGAAATTGATCGGAATTATGTCATGGTCTTGATGATCAAAATCAAAGACACAATCGATGATCCCCTCCCTCAACATCCAGCGGAAGCAAATGACAACACCACGCATTGTAACCGACACCAGCTGACGCCACTGATGACACCATATTCAGTGCGGTTAAAGGAGACGCAGCAACAGAAACTGAAGCAGCTCCTGCCTCTCACAAATCTGACAAATGGAAATACTTGGCGTTTCCGGTGAGTCACGCCCACAACGTTCACGTTATCAACAAGAAGACGACAGTGTGTAAACTACGCTACGTGTGTGTAGCACACCCGACAACGGGTAACACAACGAACATTCGATTTAACAACTGGGAAAACACCATCACTGGTTTAACCTACCATTACAATTACAGTACAAAATATAATGAGTAAAACCGATGATCGTAGACTAGACGAGTCTAAAAATGGCACCATGGCACCATCAAATCATGACCCTAAAACCGAAAATAACATCGAAACAAGGATTTGTAGAATCGTGACACCCCTACTGGTGGAAAAAATGAGTCTGTTTGATTTATTTTCTGAACTAAGTGTTTTGTAGAAAAGCTAAAGTCTGTTGTTTCCATCATAGAGAATAATCTCACTGTGATCCTCGACAGATAGAGATGTTATGAGTCGTCTAATCTACGAGGTCGTCCCTTTAAAGATAACAGTGTCGTCTTTTGAAAACACGAAGGCAGCGATCATCTCTTCTGTGGAGTCCGTTCAACAATGCTTTTAATTGAGCCCAAGGGAAGGCAGGGAACCAGACTGGAGCTGTATGAGGAGAACCCCAGGTTAGAGACACACTCGGGTGTCATGTTTCCCTCCGGGAGTGAAAAAACACAAGTGTGAGGAGGAGGTGGGTAAAGCCTTTACAATGAAACTAGGCCATCCTAACAAGGACTGGGAGAGACTGTGACAGTAGAATACAGAGCTGCGTATACCACAGTGTCTCTGCCTCGCTGCCAATATCACTTTCATTTGCTATGCACCATTTCACTCCCTCCTTTAAGCTCTGCTGACATCAAATGCATTATGATGGGGTATGGTAAACACACACTGTATTTCCTCACACACTCTGTCAGGGGGCG